GCAAGGGCCTGCTACATGCACAGAATACAAAAACCCGAGTGGCAGTGCCACCCTCAGATCAAGCCTTCAACAGTAATTTCCCAGCCCTGAGAATAGATCCTAGTTCTATACCACAGCTGGCAAGGCCAGGGTATCCAATCCTGCTCCCCATCCGCCCGGGTTTTCCCCCAGGCATACTGGCACCCACCCGTTCAATCATCCATCATCCATCCATCCACATAGCCACTTATCCATTACCTGTGGTCCTTCTATCATCCATCTACCCACCACCAATTCATCCTCCATCCATCCATTCACATACCCATTTATCTATCCACACATCCATCCATCTGCCCATCTACCTATCATCTATCCATCCACATACTCATCTATACAGCCATCCACCTATATCTGTCCATCCATCCACCCATATATCATCCATCCATCTACCAACCTACATATCCATCCACCACCCATCTACAACATTGGATGACTAGAAACTGGACCCAGCATGAGTTTTAAGCCACAGGGTCCAGGACTTAAACCGTGGTTAACTACGTGGAAGTCTAGCAACATAATCATTCTGCCACCTGCTGGTCCCACACACGCTGCTTCTTGATCTGGATGCTGCTTATAGAGATATTCAGTTTGTGAAAATTCATTAAGCTGTATGCTTGTGATATATACATTTTTCTGTATGTATCTTAATCAAAAGTAAGAAAAAGCCCAATTCATTCTTATTGTTAAATAACTCAAAGGCTAAAGAAGATATTCCAATGGAAATAAAAAAAATAACCAGAAGTAAGTGATATCACAACCACTACGTGACAAAATTCATAAAATGCAGCAACACTGGTGTGTTGAGGGAAATTCATAACCTTAAGTAGTAAAACTAATATTAGAAAGAAAGAAAAGCTGAAAACTAATGAGCTAAGTGTCCAGTTAATTAAAAACAAGTAAAACAGAGAATAAGAATCAAGAATCAACAGAAAACAGACATGCCAGAAGAAATCACATGACACTTCCAATAAACTGTCAAAATAACTGCTGGCAAAGATGGGTCAGCAGATGGTGCCAGTAGTTACACTGGACTCCCACATGGCTGACCACAGTTCAGGTCTCAGACTCTGTGGCTTGAAAATCATGCCAAGTGCATGTGTGTGCATGCCCAAGATCCCGGGAGGAAAATAGAGGGGAAGGGATTGTGGTGTAGCCATCCCCCGGGGGGCTGATTTCTTACTTTCCCTCCCTGTCTCTGTCTCTTTCTCTCTCTGGTGAGCAAACACACCCCTATGGCAAAAATCTCTTTAAGGAAAAAAAAAATGACAAAGAAAGAAAAGAAATTAAATATCCAGTGAGAGAAAAAGGAGGCAACCTATAGATAGTGAAGCTGTTAGAAAGAATATCATCTGGGACCAGCAGTTAGTGTAATGGCTATGTCACTGGACTCCCACGTAGTCGACCGTGGTTTGAGTCCCAGACCCGGTGGCTTAAACTCACACCAGGCGTGTGTGCGTTCGTACACAAGATCCAGATAGGAGAATGGAGGAGAAGGGATTGTGGTGTGGCCATCCCCCCTGGGGGGTGATTTCTCGCTTTCTGTCTCTCTGTCTCTCTCTGTCTGTCTGGCGAGCACACACGCCCTATAGCAAAAATCTCTAAAAAAAAAAAAAAGAAAAAAGAAAGAATATCATCTGCTACTAAATGCCAAGTTTGTTTTTTTTTAGATAGATTTTTGCTAGAGGGCACGCGTGCTTGCTGGAGAGACAGAGAGAGAAAAAGAAAGCGAGAAATCACCCTCCCTGGGGAATGGCCATGCCGCAGTCCCTTCTCCTCTATTCTCCTCTTGGGATTTTGAGCATGCACACACATGTGCCTGGTATGAGTTTTAATTAAACTGCCAGGTCCAGGACTCGAACCACAGTCAACTATGTGGGAGTCCAGAGACATAACCATTATGCCATCTGTTGGTCCCAATGCCAAGAATTTTAGCCATAATTTTAGTTTACCAAAAAGCTAACTCAGTAAGGAAAAAAAGAAATTAGTCTTGTGACTACTAAAAAATTGAGAAGTAATTAAAAATCTTTCTTCAAAGGAAACAGATGGCTTTATAAATGAGTTTTACCAGACTTTCAAGGAACAGATCATCTCATTCTTACATAAACAAGGCAAAGAAAGAGAGGGGGCTGCTTACACAAGATCGTGATGGCAATACTGGTCAAAAATATCAACACAATGGAAAATTACTAGTCTACTCATTTAAAGGAAAAAAAAAATCCAAGGGAAGCAGGAATCAAGAATCAATGGAGGGAACCAGCAGTTAGCGTAATGGCTATGTCTCTGGACTCCCATGTAGTTGACTGCGGTTCGTGTCCCGGACCCGGTGGCAAAAAAGAAAAAGAAAAGAAATGTATATTGGGACCAGTAGTTAGTGTAATGGCTATGTCACTGAACTCCCACGTAGTCGACCGTGGTTTGAGTCCTGGACCCGGTGGCTTAAACTCACACCAGATGCGTGTGCGTGCGTACACAAGATCCTGAGAGGAGAATGGAGGAGAAGGGATTGCGGTGTGGCCATCCCCCCTGGGGGGTGATTTCTCGCTTTCTGTCTCTCTGTCTCTCTCTGTCTGTCTGGCGAGCGCATGTGCCCTATAGCAAAAACCTCTAAAAAAAAAAAATGAAATGTATATTCATGATAAAACTCAGCAAAAAGGGGAACCCAGTTGGCCAAGCAAATGTCACCCCGGATGAGGAAAGGTGAAAAACGCTCTTTAGAATCAGAGGGGCATAATTAATTTCTGCCTGTGAGGATGGACGCTCACTGTCATCCCACTTGTATTCCACAACTCATTGCTGTTCCTGGCCACAGACTGCAAGATAGGAAAGGACATTTGAGGCATAACCACTGGCTAGGAGGGAATATCACTATTTTGTGTTGGTAATTTGATCAGTTAAATAGAAAAACTAGGGTCAGCCTGTGCTGTGGCGGATAAGGTAGCTGGACTCCCACGTGGCTGACTGCAGTTTGTGTCCCAGACCTGGCAGCTTGCTTTCTCACTTTCCCTTTCTTTCTCTCTGGTCAAATTAAAAAATAAAATAAATAAAAAACAAAATTCAATAAATAAATAATTCTTAAAAAAAAAATAAGAAAGAAAGAAAGAGAAAAAATATGCCAGGCACATGTACATGCTTGCCTAAAATCCCCAAAGGAGAAATGGAGATGAAGAGATTGTGAAGCGACCATCCCCATATCTTCCCTCTCTCCTTTTCTCTCACTCCTTCTTTCTTCCCGGTGCATACCCCCATCTGACAAAAATAAAATAAAAATTTCAAAAAAAAGGGGCCGGCAGGTGTGTGAGGGTTGGGGTGCTGGACTCCCACATGGCCAACCATAGTTTGAGTCCTGGACCTGGCAGCTTTGTTTCTCACTCTCTGTCTGTCTCTGGTCAAACTGAATAATAATAATAATAATGTTAAAAATAACAGCAAATAGGGACCAGCAGTTGGCATAATACCTATGCTGCTGGACTCCCATGTAATCGACCGCAGTTTGAGTCCCAGACCCAGTGGCTTAGACTCATACTGGGCATGTGTGCGTGCGTGTCCAAGATCCCAAGAGGAGAATGGAGAAGGGATTGCGGCATGGCCATCCCCTCTGTGGGGGTGATTTCTCACTTTCTGTCTCTCTGTCTTTCTGGTGAGCACATGTGCCCTATAGCAACAAAAAAGAAAAGAAAAAATTTAAATATTTTTTTTTTGAGAGGTTTTGGCCTTAGGGCACAGGCACTTGCCAAAGAGAGAATGAGACAGACACAGTGAGAGGGAAAGTAAGAAATCACTCCTATGGAAGGAGGATACCCCTGCCACAATCTCTTCTCCATTCTCCTCTCGGGATTTTGGGCATGCACACACATGCACCCAGCATGATTTTCAAGCCACCTGGTCTGGGACTCAAGTTGTGGTTGGCCATCTGGGAGTCCAGTGATGTAACCGCTACACCATCTGCTGGTCACAAATAAATAATTCTTTAAAAAATAAAGAAAAACTAAGAGGATCTATTAAGTTATTAGAAATTAAAGGTTTAGCAAGATGGCTAGATGTAAAATTAGGGTATTAGGGACCAGCAGTTGGTGTATGGCTATGTTGCTGGACTCCCATCGTTGTAGTTGACTGCAGTTTGAGTCCCAGACCTGGTGGCTTAAGCTCATGCCGGGCGTGTGTGCGTGCGTGCCCAAGATCTCGATAGGAGAATGGAGGAGAAGGGATTGTGGCATGACCATGCCCCCTGAGGGGAGATTTCTCGCTTTCTCTCTCTCTGTCTCTCTCTGTCTTTATGGCGACTGTGGCTCCAGTAAGGCAAGAGCCATGAATAGGCCATTCTGTGTTCCAGGTCAGACTCCAACGTGGTGTCCGATGGACAGACAGCCTGAGGGCCGGGTGGGGCCTGTACACTGGTTCTCTGTCTCCCTTTTTATACCGTAGCCGCACTGAGCACCAAGACCTGGAAGGACTGTGGCGTGCGCTGCTGTTATACCCCTTGCACAGGGATCCTAAAACTGTGCATTCAGGCTGCACAGTGGGTGCTTTGGGCACAGTGGCCTCAGGAGCCTTGGGTGTCAGCCAGTGTATGTCCCAGAGTGCCCAGAGTGCTCAGAGAGTGGACAACTACACATCTGCTGATTCCTTCAGGAACTACGGGCACCCACCAGAACTATGGGCACCCAATTAGGCACTTTAAATATGTTGAATGTAGCAAATTTGCATCCCAGAAAACACACTAATTACATTATACAACTATAACAATGACAAACATGGACCCACAGCCACTGCTCCCAAACACCAGGCTGTCCCTCGAGCTGCTCCTGTGAAGACCCCTGTGGTCAGCAAGGGCAGCCTTCCCCAGGGAAGCCAATGCAATGGGCTGCAGCAGCATTTCCCCCAGTCCCAGAGGCTACTGCCGTAAAGTTAAGGTAACTGTATAGTAAAGGTGAGGAGGGAAGGACCCATCTGCCAGCTCTTACCTCAAAGGTGTTCCCGGTCACATCAAACTCTGGGGGCACAAAGGCTCCTTCAGGGTCATCTTGGGGAAGAAAAGAGAAGGTGCTTTGATCACACCCATGAAGCACATGTCAAAGAGTAACGTATCAAGAGCTCAGCCCTTGGGGGACCAGCAGTTAGTGTAATGGCTATGTTGCTGGACTCCCACGTAGTCAACTGTGGTTCGTGTCCCAGACCCGGTGGCTTAAAACTCACGCCGGGCGCGTGTGCGTGCATGCCCAAGATCCCAAGCGGAGAATGGAGGAGAATAGATTGCAGTGTGGCCATCCCCCCTGGGGGGGGGTGATTTCTCACATTCTATCTCTCTGTTTCTCTCTGTCTGTCTGGCGAGTGCACGTGCCCTATATCAAAAACCTCTCAAAAAAAAAAAAATAATAAAAAAGAAAAAAAGAACTCAGCCCTTGGGAGCCTCCAGAAGAGACTAGGAGGAAGACACAGACTCCAGGCCCCCTGGAGCCAACTCCTCTCTGGCCGGTTTCTCATCCTTGGATTCACACACCTGAGGGTAGTTTTAAGCATTAAGGTGCCAATGGTAGAAAGGGAAATTAGCTCTCTAACTGTAAGAGTGGGAAATTGGTTCCAAAGTGGGAGGAAAAAAGGGTTCTGTCTTTAATTTTTAAAATTAAATTAAATTAAATTTATTATTATTATTTTTTAATATGACCAGAAAGAGAGACAGAGATGGAAAATGAGAAAGCAATCTGCCAGGTCCAGAACTCAAACCACAACCAACAGTGTGGGAGTCCAGTGCCCCAACTACCATGCCACCTGCCGACTCCTCTGTCTGGCTTACTGAGGAAGAAAAACTGAAGGTGGCTGTTAGTGAGAAACCAGGCCAGTCTGTCAGCTCAGGCCCTCCCAGAGGGGGTGGTGCAATATGAACAGCTGGAGAGGCAAGTGAGTCTCCCCTTCAAGGTCTCCTCCATTCACTCCCTGCAGGATCAGTAGGATGGGCTCAGGGGAGGCTCAGCATCCCTTTGGGAGAAAGGCCTGAGTGGAAGCCAGCTGTGGATCGGGGCCGGCTGCACCCCCCTGATACATGCACACACACGTACACATGCCCCCACTAAAAGTGCAAACACCCACCAGCAGCTGAGCCACTGAGCTCGTTCTGCAGCCTGACTTTCTCCCTCCAAGGTACCTCAGGTGGAGCATCCCACCAGATTCAAAAGGAGACCTGGGCCCTGGCATCTGACCCTGGCTATTCACATCACCCTGAAAGAGCACCTAACCACCCACAGCTGCCCACCTGCCCGCCTGCCCAGCCGCCCATCTGCGGCAGCCTCACCGCTGAGCTGCTCCATGAAGCACACGTTTCCACTGGTGTTGAAGGCCAGGGTGTCGGGCGTGATACACAGGGTCTGGAAGATGGCCGCGTGGGCGACGCTCCGCATGGACAGGCTGCATTCCAGGCACACGGCCCAGGCCTCCTGCTCACTGAGGCCACTGTCCCGCAGAGAGAGGATGTCGGCCAGGGATACATTCTCCTGCCAAGACAGGCCTACGCTGTGAGCCTGCAGCCGGCACGGGGTCTAAGGTGGAGCCCACGCCACCCCAGGACCTCCCACAGTGAAGGCTTGGCACCTCGATGCTGAGACAAACTCTCTGGGGGAACAGATAATATTTCATTGTATGGGTCAGGAACAGGGTCTTAGGCAAGGTCTTCTTTTTCTAATAGTCATCCCACTGTTCCCTGGATGTCAGAGCCACAGAGCAGTTGGTGAAACCCTCAGTGTGCTGCCTGGAGCAGGTGTCCGCTTATTGAGCCCAGGAACCTTCCTCCCGGACGCTCGGCTGTAGCCTGAGAACTTGTGCCCAGCTGGGTTACCTGCCAGCTGGGATACCCCTGACCCTGCAGGCTCACAGCTCAGAGCGTATGCAGAGGTTGTGAACAGATAAGTGAGATCTGAAGTACACAGTATCAGTTGATGTATTGAGGTGCTGGACCCCCACATTGCCAACCGCGGTTCAAGCTCCAGACCTGGTGGCTTGCTTTCTCACTTTCTGTCTCTCTCTCTGGTAAATTAAAATAGAGGGATGAGAGATGAGTAGACACCTACAGAAAGTGCACTTGTGTACAGGAAGCTATGCACAGGGGGCTAGAGTGGCACGATCTTATGACGTAATCATGTGGAGTTGCCCAGACATTAGCTCCAGGTAGTCCCAGCACATGGGGCCAGCACGGTATCTGTTCTTTGGGGGAGCACAGAGGAAACAGTCACCATGGTTCCTTCTGCATGGCTACATAGCCTAAGCCTCTCCCATATGGGGCTCACCTTAGAACCCAAGTGGACTCCCTTCATTTCATGAGAGCTAGCTATGATCATAATGGTTGCTACAAACACCACACTCACATAGCCACTTAACACACACATTTTCGCACATGCACATATGTAACCACCTAACATTCACAAGCATGCACACGCCGAATACAAGCACATTAACACACACATACACACACACACACATATCCATTCACTTAACACACACCTGTACAGACACTCCCCCCCACTTAATATATGTATGTTTACACACATATACTAACTAAATGTAAGCATATTAATTCACACATACACACGTACCTGTCCACCTAACACTCATTCACACACATGCACACACACCCAAGTACATTTATGCACACATGCAGCCACCCACCTACCTAACACACACATTCACATAGGCATCCACTCATCTAATGTGCATGTATATACACGTGTACCCACCTAGCACACATATTCACACACATATACGATGCACCCAGTGAACACAAGCACATTCATACATGTTGTCTTCGTTCATTTTTACGTTACTAAAAGAAATACCTGAGCCTGGGTGATTTTATAAAGAAAACAGAAGTTTGTTTATAAACTCACACAATTCAGGTGGCTGGAAAGTCCAAAGTCAGCCTACAGCATGGCTGACAGAAGGGCAGAGGATGGCAGGCACATGCAGAGAGAGGGAAGGGTCTTGACTGACTTCTCTTTTACAACCAGCTCTCGTGAGAACTAAGCTTTTCAGACAGAACTCACTGAATCTCCTGCGACATCAATAATCTATTCATGACACTGTTGCCTCCAGGCTGGGACACCATGAAGGAATTAAATTCTCAATACTTTACAATACAGACAAGACAATCAAATCCCAGCACTTGGGACCAGCATGATATCTGTTCTCTGGGGGAACAAGCAGTACTTCAGTTTATTTATTAAGGCATTATACCCCCACATTGCCAACTGCAGTTCAAGTCCCAGACCTGGCAGCTTGCTTTCTCACTTTTCCTCTCTCTCTCTCTCTCTCTGGTAAATTAAAAAATAATAATAAGGGCCAGCAGGTGGCATGGTGGTTAAGGGCACTGGACTCCCAAATGGCTGACCATGGTTTGAGTCCCACCCTGGCAGCTTGCTTTCCTACTTTCCCTCTCTCTCTGGTTGAATAAGAAACAAATTGTAATGATGATAATACATTAAATGAAATAATTTTTAAAAATAATGAAGAAAATAAATAAATAATTCTTTTTAAAAAATCCCAACACATGAATTTCTGGGGAACATATTCAAACCATAGCACATCTGCACATGTCACACACCCATCTACCTAGCACATGCACATTCACACACACATGCACTCACCTAACACAAGCAATATACACTCACACATGCTCAGCTCACACATGCACATTTAAACACATGTGTACTTGGGACCAGAAGTTGGCGTAATGACTATGTTGTTGGACTCCCATGTAGTCGACTGTGGTTCAAGTCCCGGACCCGGCGGCTTAAACTAATGCCAGGTGCTTGTGCATGCGTGCCCAAGATCCCAAGAGGAGAATGGAGGAGGGAACCAGCAGTTGGCGTAATGGCTATGTCGCTGGACTCCCACGTAGTCGACCGCGGTTCGAGTCCCGGACCCGGTGGCTTAGAACTCACACCGGGTGTGTGTGCGTGCGTGCACAAGATCCCGAGAGGAGAATGGAGGAGAAGGGATTGCGGCGTGACCATTCCCCCTGGGGGGGGTGATTTCTCGCTTTCTGTCTCTATGTCTCTCTCTGTCTGGCAAGCGCACGCGCCCTATAGCGAAAACCTCTCAAAAATAAATAAATAAAAAATAAAAAAACCTCTAACTCCTTTATCTCATGCCAGGCACGTATGCGTGCGTGCCCAAGATCCCGAGAGGAGAATGGAGGAGAAAGGGATTGCAGCATCACCATTCTCTTTCTGTCTCTATGTCTCTCTCTGTCTGGCAGGCGCACGCGCCCTATAGCGAAAACCTCTCCAAAAAAAAAAAAAAAGAGGAGAATGGAGGAGAAAGGGATTGCAGCATCACCATTCTCTTTCTGTCTCTATGTCTCTCTCTGTCTGGCAGGCGCACGCGCCCTATAGCGAAAACCTCTCCAAAAACAAAGAAAGAAAGAAAAAAAACACATTTGCACTCACCGGACAGAATCACACTCACACACATGGTCACACATATAAGTATGTATACTCTGACATATACCAACATATATATTCTTAGACATACACACACTTATCCACTGGGACACCAATACACAGGCATGTACAAACTCACAATGTGTCCACACATTTTCATATCCATCCACACATGCACACAAACCCATTCGATGAGATCAAACATGCTCACACACACAAGCACACACTACACACCCCATATTTTCACTTACGCACAATCACATACTCATACACGCCCAGACTCTCACTCATACATGCCCACATACATTCACACACATACTACACACAACCCGAAACACATGTATGGATAACATACTGCATATACTTCCACATATACATGTACTTACTCATATGTTTACAAACGCACACACACACACACACACACATATTCACATTGGGTACACAGAGTCCCACATATACTAACACATAATGCCACATACACCCACATTCACATATAAGAACAGGCACACGCTCAGTTGTCCATATACTTAAACATACACACTCAGATGCACACCCTCACATATATCAGACACCTTGTGTCCCAGTCACCCCCATGTGAGTATGTGTGTGTGTGTGTGTTCATGTACCACCTCAACAACAGCAGGGATGGGGGATTCTGATGGTTGGGGCTCGGGCTGGGCCTGGAGGAAGCATGTGCGTATGGGAAGAGGGTTGGGATACCCAGCCTTGGGGGAGTGGCAATGATGGGAAAGTGAGGACTAGTTGAGGACAGTGGAGAAGGAGCCCCTATCAGCTTCTCCAGCCTCAGTGTTGGCCCACCCAGCATCCAGGATTGTTCTTGCTCTACAAGCACAGCCAAGATACCAGGTCCTAAAAAGTCTCCCACCTCCTGAATTTCCCTTGCCGGCAGCTGGCACAGCAAGGCATTCCCACAGTCACAGGTAAATGGGATAAAGGGCCTAAACCAAAGAAACAAGCAGAATCAGGGAGGAGCTCCCCAGTATGCATCTTGGCCAAGTCCCTGGGGTTCACTGGTTGGGGAAGCCAGGACCTGGGCCTGTCCACTGTCCCTGTGGCCCTGATATAACCAGAGTCCAGGGAGAGGCTTGATGATGTTCCTTCCCCAGCCCTTCTAGCTCCTTCTATGGCAGAATCTCCCTGCTGTGTTCCTGAGATTTCCTGACTGATGAAAGGTCCTGTGGATTCGGTTCTACTGACCTGTCTGCCCAGGACTTCTTAAGACCCAGAAGAGGGAGGCCAACAGGTGGCATGGTGGTTAAGGGTGCTGGACTCCCATATGGCTGACAGTGGTTCAAGTCCCAGACCCAGCAGCTTGTTTTCTCTTTCTCTCTCTCTCATTCTGTCCCTCATTGGTCAAAATTAAAATAAATAAATAAAATAAAGTTCGATAAAAATAATTCTTAAAAAAAAAAAAAGACTCAAGAGAGCCTGAGTGATGCCTAAGGGGCCTGGTTAAAGAGGTGCCATGGCACTGTATATTCATACATACATAAGGGTGTACACATGGGTATCTACATATACACACCTGCACGGAAATGCAGATCCCAGTACACATATACACATTACATCACATGTGGCTGCAAACACACACACACACACACACATACACACACACACACACACACAGGTACACACTACATGAGGAAATAACAACTCTGAAGCCCGTATGGATTCATGCTATTTAACAGAAATAAAGCCTGTCCACTGTGTGAGTCTGAGCCAGCCAGAGTCTGAGAGCCATTGCAGGGCCCTCACACCCCTGCCTATCGTTTACATGGGCTAGTCAGCCACCTTCACACGTGACTAGTGACAGGACATGCTACCAAGAGAAAGAGCCAGGTCAGGTGTGGCCAAAGGCTCATCTCTCTGCCCACAGAAAGATCTTTTGCTCAGGCCCAGTGGGAAGACACCACAGTGAGTGGGGAGCCCCCTCCATCTCTTGAGAGAGCTGGACACCTACAGCTCCCAGTGCCTATTCGTGTTGAGACCAGGGAGGATGGCCATGCTGCAATCCCTTCTCCTCCATTCTCCTCTTGGGA